CATATATATACATATATATATTATACATATATACACATACATACATACATACACACACACAGAGACATACATACATATATATACACATACATATACATACATACATACATACATACATACATATATATGTAAGTGTTTTTTTTATGATGCATCCGGTCGGTCCAAATATGGGAAGAAGAAATCTTCGAATCTCAGAAGGGTGTAACTGGCTGATGAGAGCTAAGGAGCTCGAAATAGCTATACCAGCTTCCCTTTAACTCTTTGTTAGCAATCCAAATTTAACACACACACACACACACACACACATATATATATGTGTATGTATATATATATATGTATGTATGTATACTGTATGTATACAGACAAACGCGCGCATACACACACGGAAATCTTAACCAAAGCAAAACAGACTGAATGGCCCAGCTCTTTCTGGTCCTCTCTTGCGCAGGCTCCCTTTTTTCAATTGGGGAGGCCGTGGTGCAAGTGCAAAAGTGGCCATCCACAACGGGTGCCCATCCGTGGGAAGCTGGTGAAGAATCCTTATCAACTAGAAATGGTAGCCAGAGGAACCCAGGCAGAGTAGAGCCGGTCTCTTTGCAGTAGAAAGAAGACCTCCACTCAGTTCGTGGAATGGAGCTGATTCTCAAGACTGGCCAGGGACCAGCCCTTGGAGACAGCCTCCATCTTTCTCTGACCTGAAGTTCTGATGGGGGGACGAGTGCTGCACGTGCTGAAATTCCCCAAAGGTCATTGGGCTCTTGCCTTTGACAAAGGGATCTCTCAGCCGGCTTTCTTTTAGCCAGCATGTGGCAAACAACGGCTGCTACAGACTTATCCTTTGAGGAGGAGGGAATTCAAGGAAGACACAACCCCGCCAGAGGAGCCCAAAATCTTGGGACTGCCGGTGGCTTCGACCGAGAGGCTGGTGGAAATAGCTCCTCTGCAACACAGCAATTCCGCTGTCGGTTATCTGGCTTAGAGAGAAATGCGAGTTTAAGAGGTTTCCTTCTCCGATGTGCTTAGAGGCTGAGAAACGCCACGGGGGGAGAGGAATCTCAGAGTTCCCTTTGTCAGTCGACGGAGGACCCCGGTGGATCGGGAGAGCCGCTGGGAGGAAGGGACTAGATCCGAAAAGGAACAGCAGCAGAGACCCGACACAGAGACGGTCACCGACTGGTGTCATCTTGTGGCTGGGGAGGTTCTGGTGGGGGCAAAGAGAGGTGCGTGGAGAGGCGGCCACGAGCTCTTCTCCTGGCTAAGCTCCCACTGCAGCTGCTTGTAAAGCTTTTTGGATGCCTTCTTGCGTCGCAGCTTCCGGAAGCCGTTCAGCAGGCCGTGGTCCAAGCCCACCTGTGGAAGAAGCAGAGCAGGAATGGGTGACGCACGGATCCGACTGCCAGACGCACGGATCCGACTGCCCGCTGCTCCAAGGAAGCCCGCCGCGGATGCTCAGCTGCTCAACAGTCCCATTTCCCAAGCCAAGCCTGGCCCAGCCACAGAAAAAAGGGTCTTGGCTCGGCTTTCACAGAAGACTGCAACGAACCACTTCCGCTGCCTTGGACCACATCTTAAAAAGTCTGCTTTCCCAGCTCCGTTACTCCTTTCTTACCTCCAGCACGAAAGCCACGAAGAAGTGGAGAGCAGCCATTCCCAGCAAGATCACTTTGAAGCTCAGGTCACTGGGGCTCTTCAAACGCAGGAGCTTTTGCATGAAGGCCAGCGGAAAGACGGTCAGCCAGATCATGAAGCCGGTGAGCAAGAGTAAGGCAATCAAAAAGGGCACTGGGGAGAGAGAGACACCGAGACGAGGCTTGGGCGCGGGACCAGGCAGAAGAGGGGCTGCCCGAGAAAAACCGGTCTGACCCGTCCCGGGCCTCCTCTTGACAGAGCTGCTGTGCAGAAGCACTTACCATTGGTATAAAGCGGCTTGCGGAAAGGCCGGCCTTTGGACACGACCACCGCCAAGATGAGATACTGGAACCCCGAGGTGCAGAAGATAACCGTGTTCTCGTAATTTGGCAGGTTTGCGGGGGCGGACAGAGTGCTGTTCAGAGGGGTGAACCTGAGAGGGAAGTAGACAGGTGGCTGAATCTGGGCTGGCGGCAACCTTGCCCGTCCCCACCCGACTGCAGAGGCCGGCCCACGGCAGGCTGAGCTAGTCCAGGAACCAGCCACCGCGGGGCCGAGTATAAAAGGGCCAGAGAGATGGAGCTACTGGGCTTCTTCCTCGCTCCTCGCTCACCACTGCTGGGAGATGGTGATGAAGTAGACGATCACCAGGATGGCCACGATGAGAGCCGTTTGGAGGCAAAGACTGCCCAGGACGGCGAGGCTGATCAGGGCTCCCTGCGGGCGCCGGAGACCCAAGTCCTCGGCAGGCTCGGTCTTGCCCATGAGAGCGACCATCGTGGTGGTGATGATGAGATCGGTGAACAGGAACTGCCCGTCGCTCAAGTTGGTGTTGATCTAGGCAAGGGGAAGGGAAGAACAGAAGAAATGGAGAGATGCAACGGCCCGCCGTGCACTTCTTTTGCACCTGGCTATTTCTGTCCCCATTTAGAAGCTGCTCCTTTAAGCCCCAATTCCCTTATTCCTTGGCGGGCATTTTGTTTCACCTGGGTAGGGCTTTGTCACTTTATGTAGTTCCCGTACCTGACGCCATCCCTTGGGCAAATCCTACACCTGGCGCTCGGGTTTCTAGACCTCACTGCTTGCAACCAATAGAAAATCACTTAAAATGGCCAAATTAAGATTCTTTTTAAAGGGGTGTTTTAATAAATTTTTAGGGGGATCAAGGGTGGTGGGGAGGGGGGAGGATCACCTTAGGTCAGGACCAGCCATGTCTGAGGGTTGCGGTGTAGAAAGGGTGGGGGGGAGGGTGGGGGGTTGAAGGAGGAGGGAGGCATTAGTACGGTCAGTGGGAGAGGCAGATATGGCGGGAGCAGGGGACCATATCGGGTTAGGGGAGCACGCACACGCT